TAGTGTCACACAGATTATGTCRTTGGGAAAAAAGGTCCTTTCAGAGCTACAAAAGGGTCTGCAGGGCCCTCTTCCTGAGGTCTTTAGACCACACTTAGGGAAGTGCTGTTCTGATCTCCTGGATCAATTCCTGCTCACTTGTTGAGAGACTGTACCCCTGACCCCAGACCATCATCTCATGCCTTCTTCTCAAGTTCCCAAAACTGGTTATTCAAACTCACATCATGTGGGGTCCCACTTCCTTGTGTGTCCATGACCAATAGGTCCAGCAGTTCAGGGAACAGCTAGTGACTCAAGGTCAGGCCACCACACCCTCTGAGCATACCTCTTGCCAGCATGACTCAAGGACATCCAATGATTAATAATAAGCTCCCCAACTTACTGAGAAGGAATGAAGTTCTTGTATGAAGTTCCTGGAGATGGTACCATTTAGACCCATAATGAAGCGGATGGGATTTGCTTCGATGCCTCATGCTTTGCCAGGGTAACCAACCTCTGCAAGGCTGGGGCATATGAGGGCCATGTCTGGATTTGATTTTTCCACTTCCCTCAAATATGAAGAAGCCAAGGCGGAGGGGAGCACAAGGGGCCCCCATGGGGCAGCACTGATGCAGACCCTAGGGGCAAAAACAGAGACGCCCATCCCCTGGGGCTCCTGTAGCCTCCTAAGACACCCTGAGGGTCTGGTTACCTGCTTTCCCCTCATACCCACCCTGGGGGCAGCCCCATGGGCAGTAAGACACAATGGCTTAGGGGAGGGGTACCAGAAGACACCAGGAGGCTGGAGTGGCCTGTAAGCCTCAGGACCCTGAAGTGCCCTAAAGCAACACAAGCATTCTGTGGAGCTAGACAGGGTCAAAATGAAGAAATAAAGCCATGAGGTGTGTAGCAGCCATTGCCCTACCCCATCTGATGTTCCCTATTATTGTCTGCAACCTGTGGGAGCCCTACCCCAGCTGGAATACACAAGGAGTGCATTGGCTCCATCTCCCAGCATGCCATCCTGGGAGACCCTACTCCCACAAAGCCCATCCTTCCTTCCCATCACCCCCATCAGGCAACAACTGCATGAAACCAGGCAATACTGGAAAGAGAGCCACTGTAGGGAGAATGGGCTCTAGGAAGGCTACTTTGCTTCTTCTCAGACCCGCCCAGCCACTGGATTAGCCAGTGACATTTCCTTGGTCCTTCCAGAATGGGTGACTTCAGCTGTCCTGGAAATGTGGGGCTAGTAAAAACACAATCACCCTGAAGCAATCACCTAGTCTTGGGTTTTCCAACTTTTCTTTGGCAGTAGAGCTACATTTGTTTGTTTGAAGCCAAAGTATGTTCTGCTGAAAATCACGACCTGCAGTCTTGCTGATTCCTCTGGCCTCCCTCTTTTCTACCCCAGTCTCTACCTGCCAGCCTCAAGATCATCAGATCCAGTTTGATTATGGTTATGGTGTGTATACCCATTTCACAGATGCAGAAACAGATCCCAAAAGCAAGGTCTCTTGCTCACAGACTTGTGCGGTGGAGGCCAGCTAGGACCTGAACCCACTAGGTAACAAGGGTACCACTCAGCTGGCACGATCTAAGTTACAGAGGACCAGCCCAGCTTGTAGGATACACTCAAAGAAAAATAAACCCATGCCTCTATCCTTCCCCAACTCCTTTCTCATGGAATGGAGGCCTGAGCTGTAAGCAGGGGTGTCCCTGGGAAGCTGGATGCTGGATCACGGCCCTTTTACCACACTGGCCTTCTGAGACCCTATAACACAAGCCCTTTGACTTGAGGCCTTCCTGCATTCCCAGCCTCCTCCTGCCCCAGGCAGCGCAGGGCCACATTTGCGCATATTCCTGGGTAATGTGTATGTCTTGGGATGTGTCCACACCACCCAGACATACCCTCGTGACCTTGAAGCCATCATGGACTTCAAGCACAATGTTGCCCATCCCACCTCTCCTGCTCTGACTCCCTTGTTTTTCTAGAAAGTTCATGGCTTTTGATTCATCCTCAGATGTGTCTGTGGTCCAGAAAGATCAAGAACTACTGCATGGGGAGAAGAGGAACCTCCCAGGCCCAGGGAGAGGAAGCAGAGGGGAATGGAGTGGGGTAGGGGAGGCTCTGGTCTCTACCAGAGGCTTTACCTATGTTACTTGATTTGGTTTCTCTCACTGACTTGTGATGCTGGGGCGACTGTCCCCACTAAGCAGGGACAGAGGTCAAGGCAAGTTACACTTGGTTCTGCAAAGGATCTAGCTCCGGAACTTGACAAAAGCTCCTTCCACTCAGCCATGCCTCACCTTGGTCCCTAGATCTAGGTCCCCAGAAAACTATTTTAGCAGTCAAAGAACCTGGCATAGGGCATTAGAGTTTGCCGCTCAGATGGAAAACAAAGCTCCCAGAACTGGCCTCTTGGTATTCTCATTGAAACTTGAGTGAAGCCATTATAAGGGGTAGGGAACAGAGTGCCCCCAATCACTGTAGGTAGGTAGGTAGGTAGGTAGGATTTGGCTAGCATCTTCACCCCTCTGGATTCATCTAGCAGAGACTGTTCTTTCTTCTTTTTCTTTCTTTTTTTTTTTTTTTTTTTTTTTTTTTGAACCCAGGGCTTGACCACTGAACCACATCCCCAGCCCCTTTTTAAGATTTTGAGACAGGGCCTCACTCACTGAGTTGCTGAGGCAGGATTTGAACTCACCATCCTCCTGCCTCAGTCTCCCACTGGGATTACAGGTGTGTACCACCACGCCCAGCAAGACTGTTGTTTGCTCTTAGAATTATCAGCCTCCAAACCACTGGGCAGCATCCCTGCCCTCCAGCACCTCCTGCACAGCTCACTCCAAGTGGCGAATAACAGCAGATGCAAGCCTTGCAGAACAAGCCCAGACTCACTCACCCCAGCATTCCTGAAATTGTGACAGATGAAGATGTCAACCTGCCTGGGCTTCCATTTCTTCACCTGTGGATCAGGAATGATGATGTGCTACCCACTTCCTTATAGGGATTTCTAGGAATCACATGGGGAAGATGTTTAGAAAAGTTCTGAATATGTAATCCCAGTGACTCAGAAGGCTGAGGTAGGAGGATCTGAAGTTCAAGTCCAGGCTAGGTAACTTAGCAAGACCCTGTTTCAAAATAAAATAAGAAAGGTAAGGGATGAAACTCAGTGGTGGAGTGCCCCTGGTACCCAGGACCACAAAAAAAAAAAAAAAAATGCAGGGCAGGGGTTCTGAATATTCTATCTAATGACAGGCAAACCCCAGCTGGAACTCAGCTGGTCACCACCACATTTCCTGTCCAAGGCCCATCAACTTTTACTGTTCAGTCCAACACTCCAGGGCAGAAAAGGCATGTTTCTTTACTTCTTTCAGGCAAAGAACTTCATGTTAAGCTCCCACTAGCCCAGCTCAGTTGTATTTGGGAGACCTGCCCTTTTCCTGGTTTAGGATTTTAAGCAGCTCAGAGCAGTCAGAACAAGACCTTTAGATCCCAGTCCGCACTGGACAACTAACTGCTCTGGGGTCCACCCATGGTGGTCCTTTCTGGCAGGGTCTCTCTCTGTACAGTCTTTAGAGCTGGGGACTCTCTGTATGTGGTGCCCCTGTAGCACAGAAAAAATATCTTTTCCGAATGCATCCTGAAATTCACAGCTGAAATTTTCTATGATTAAAAAAACAGATTTACAGCCAGGCACCGTGGCGTACACCTGTAATCCCAGCAACTCAGGAGACTGAGGCAGGAGGGTCATAGGTTTGAAACCAACTCCTGCAACTTAATGAGACTATTAGAAAAAAATACAAAAAAGGGCCTAGGATACAGTTTAGTGGTACAGCATCTCTAGGTTCAATCCCCAGGACCCCCATCACATACACACACACACACACACACACACACAGAAAAAAAAAGATTCACCAGAGGAAACACAAATATGTAAGATTTATATGACATGAGAACCTTCAGAAATAAAGACCCAAAGATAGTTTGGAGGTATTCCTCAAATCCATGTAATTTTGTGGATAGTCGTGCAGAAGTCTCACCAATGGACAAAAGGGTATAAACTAATGGTGATAAACTGGGGGGAATCTTAGTAGGCCTCTTTATTCAGATTCTCMTTGGCATCTCTGTTTTCAATAATGGAGACATTCCTTTCCTCCCCATAGAGGGGACCCTTCTAGAATGAGGTCATGACTTATAAAAGAAGGTGAAAGAGTTCTCTCACCTGCTGCAGGGAAGAAGGGTGGGTGGAGAGAGACGTTCCTGTTTCTGTTTTCTCAAATGCCACCATGCCAATTTTTGGGATAACGTGTCCTGATCCTTGTCACCCCCAAACCCTTGTCCCTCCTCAGACCAGGAGACAAGCTCTGCTCCAGTAGTTTCAGCCACTGCCCCTTGCCCCAGCTCACCTCCACCCTGCTCCTCTCTCATCAGGAAGACCCCCACCTAATATCTCTGTGGGGTCCCAGGTGGGGTTTTCTTTTGGGTACCTGGCAGCTTCTCCTTAGAACCTTACAACTCAAAAACCTCCAAGGCAAAGAACACTGAGGCTGGGTCACCTACAGAATGAGCAGTCAGAATAACCTCAGAAGCAGAACGGGGAGGAAAAAAAAAAAAGAATAAAGATCAGAAATTTGTCCTGGCACAAGGCAGGAGTCTTTGTTGTGCATGCAGCCGCCTAACTCTGCCCTAGGAAGAAGCAGCCACCAGGCTAAGGACAGCTACTCTTAGCTTCATCCTTCTGGAAACCAGAGAGGCAGTCTGGAGGGACTATCTTGGGAGAGGTTCACAAACTAGGATCTGCAGATGTGGGTCCCTCTTCCTCACCTGGGAGGTAAAGAATTAGGGAGGAGCTTATCCTGGTCCCCTGAGGAATGCTGTGTAGATGCTTCCTTGCCAGAATTCTGCTTTGCTGCCTCCAAGAGCTGCACCTCTTGTTCCTGGGAATGCCAGGCAAGTTGGATGACACCTGACCTCTGGGAATTTGCCCCTAACCTCTGGACATCTGCTCTTACAGGATCTGGGCATGGAGTCAACCTCACTGGATGATGTTCTGTATCGCTATGCCAGCTTCCGGAACCTGGTGGACCCCATCACACATGACCTTATCATCAGCCTCGCCCGCTACATCCATTGTCCCAAGCCGGTAGGGTGGTTGTGGTCTGAGCCAGCCAGGTCTTGGGGTGTGAAGTGGGCACCATTCTGGGCAGAGCAACGTAGGGCCCAAGAARGATAAGCCCCCTGCTTCAGGCACTGAGAAGGTGGGCCTTAGAAGGTAGCCCCTCATAGGCGTTATCAGCACAGACGAGTTTTATTGGGCTTATGGGGCAAATTCATTACCAATTTTTTAAATTTTTTAAATCTTAAAAAGGCAGGTGGTGCACACCTGTAATCCCAGCAACTCGTAGGCTGAGGCAGGAGGATCGCATGTCCCAGGCCAGCCTCAGTAACTTAGCAAGGCCTGTCTTAAAATAAAAAAGGGCAGGGATGGAGTTGTAGCTCAGCGGTTGAGTGCTCACCTAGTGCGTGCAAGGTCCTGGGTTTGATCCTCAGCACCACATAAAATAAATAAATAAAATAAAGATACTGTGTCCAACTATAATTAAAATAAATATTTTAAAAAATTAATTAATGAAAAAGGGCTGGGGATATGGCTCCATGGTAGAATACCCTTGGGTTCAGTCTCCAGTACCAAAAAAGCCCTATATTCTACTGCCCTTGAAAAACTGGAAACTTCATCATGAGGCCCTCATCCCTACAGAGTGACAGCTGACAGGCAGCCTTTTACGTGGAACCAGTACACTGCCCAAAGACATGCTAGAGAGGTGGCCAAGATGGAGGAGGCAGGAGATAGTTAAAATTCAGCCCTCTTTGTCTGTCCAACAAGTCAGGGGCACAGGTCCAAGACCTAGAAGTGGGCTTCTCCTTATTTGCACAAAAGTACCATATAAGGCTAGCTAGCAGTGGTCTTGCCTTGGGTTCTCCTGTTTGCCTCGGTCCTCACCACTCCCAGATTTATCTTCCGCTCTGAGGTTGTGTGTCATGTTATGCAACCATTTCACTAACGTCCCTTTCTTACCTGGCCCTAGAGAGCTACAAGAAGCAGCTCCAGCAGTCTCCAGGCTTCAAAATTGCTGCTTAGCCAGGCCTGGTAGCACACACCTATAATCCCAGCAACTCGGGAAGCTGAGGAAAGAGGATCTCAAATTCAAGGCCAGCCTCAGCAGCTTAGCAAGACCCTGTCTCAAAAAATAAAAAGGACTAGGGATGTAGTTCAGTGATAAAGAACCACTGGGTTCAATCCCAGTACCCCCACCCCCCCAAAAAAATAGCACTCAACCTCTTGTGGATGGTCCTGCCAGCCCCAGGGTCTAGGCTGGCTCACCCGGGTCTGTGCAGCAGGACCCTGGATTAGGCAGGGGGGGCCAGGGGCAGCTTCACACTTGAGCTCTTCTCTGTGGTTTTGGTTCCTTCCCTCCCAACCCTCAGTTTCCGACAACTTCTRAAAAAAAGTACTTCATCCATGATGGGCAGGAAATCAGAGCAGAAGCAAGAGGTATGGAGGGAAGCATCCATTCTCAGAGTAGGATTTGGGATAAGAGTAGGGAGATGGTATCCTAAGCCTATTCCTCTTTTAGCCTAGTCCTAGTTAGGACTTCGCCCAGGGGAAAAGAAGCCTCTGGGACCAAGCCCTTTGTCTAAAGCCTTCTCTCTGGCTTCTGGGGCTGACTTTAGACGGCTGGATATTGGCTAGGGTCAAGATGGGAGGCAGCAGACAGCAGGAATGCTGGCCTCAAACAGGAGACAGCAAAAAAAGACAGTAATGAGATCCATGGACCTGAAATCTCAGGGACTAGGGGAGAGAGCCAATTGGTACCAAAGGCCACGGGGAACCAACCACCTCAGTCTGGAACCACCCTGGCCTCTCATTCAGATTGATCCATCCATGGGAAGCAGGAACATTATCAGAAATGGGCCTGTGGAGAGAGCTTAAAGGCTCTGAACCCCTGCATTTTCTTGAACAGGAGTTGAACTGGMTTACAGGTAAGAGGAATGACAGGCAATATGCTCTCAAAAAACATAGATAAGCTATTGTTTTTACACCCATGAGAATTGAGGAGAACAAGATTCAGTTAATGAGGTGATCTGGAAAAGGTCATACCTCACCTGAGAGCTGTGGGAGGTTTGGACCCACGCAGTTGCCTGGTGCTGGTCAGGACATGGGAAGTGGTTAACTGTCCTTAGACCCCATGAGACAGGACCAGGCAGGACTAAAAGAAGAGAGCCCTGGGTGGACACTGGAGGGTCCACATATGTGCTCTTAGTTCAGGCTGCAGGAGAAAGTATCATAAGCTGGAGTGCTTGTAAACAGAAATTTACTTTTCACTATATGGAGCCTGAAAGTTCAAGATCAGGGTGTCTGGTGTGTCTTATTGGCCACAGACTGCTGTCTTTTTCTTGTGTTCTCATATGGTGGAACGAGGGCAAGAGAGCTCCCTGGCCTCCTCTTATCAAGACAGTAGTCCCATCTGAGGGCTTCACCCTCGTGACCTAATCACTTCCCAAAGCCTTATGTCCTAATACCGTCACCTTGGGCAATAGGGTGTCAACATATGAATGAGAGGGTGAGCAAACCTTCAGACCATTACATGGCATGACCTTTCTCAGATCACCGGATTACCTGAATTTTGTTTTTTTCGTCTCTAAAATGGGTACCAAGCCAGGCATGGTGACACACTCCTTTAATTCCAGCAGCTCAGGGGGATCAAGAGTTCAAGCAAGAGTTCAAGGCCAGCTTCAGCAATTTAGCAAGGCCCTGAGCAACTTAGTGAGACCCACACTCAAAATTTAAAAAGGCCTAGGGGTACAGCCAAGTGGTAGAGTGCTCCTCATGGGTTCCATCCCCAGTACCAAAAAATTTAAAAATTTACAATAAAAATAAATAAAATGGGCATCAAAATCATTTCTCTCCTAGCAGCCTGTTTCCAGACTTCAATGAGATTATTTGAGAGAGGCCCTTGTGTGTGCCTRGCCTGGGTGACCAGGAGCCAAGGTGGCAGCAGATCAGTGAGCAGCTACCTGTGCTGGCAGTGTGCTCAGGCCCTGCAGGTCTGTTGTGGGAACAGCAGAAGATGTGGTTCTTGCCCACTTGGTGTCTTGGAAAACAGCAGGCTGGTCTCTGAGATTTCCAGAGCCAGCTAGAGTACGGTTGCCCCTACTGGAGGCCCAGTACCTGGCCCCTGGGTCCCCTGCCCCTCCCAAGGCCGTATGGCAGGAGAGGCTCTTTTGAAGAACTCTCCCAATTGTGGATGAGACAGAGGTGAGCGGTCCTGGCTCTGGGGTCCCCAAGCTGGTGATTGGGGTAATCCCACTGCAGCTCAGGACTGACACCAGGACTTCCTCCTCTTAGTTCTTTGCATCTGAAAATCTCCCAACAGCCCACGTTGTGAGCCTAGAAGTTTTAGACCCTGCATGCTCTGCTCAAGTCACACAGGCTGCCTCCCTATCAGAACTGCCARCTATGAGGTGGTCTCCATCCGCTGTGAGATGGGAAGAAGGAAAAGGGCTGATCACATGGGGAAGTATCTGCAAGACAGCCTTCCCACTAAGATGGCTACCCAGTAGCAGAAGCCAGGTAAGGTAGAAGGGAAGCCAGGCAATCTCAGGCAGAGTCCCAGGCTGAGGCAGAGACTGGGTTTTCACACTTCTGCACTTGTCTCAGTTGAAGGACTTTCCAGGAGAGGTAACTTCCCAGGCATTTCTGTCTTTTGTGTCTCGGCAAAGCCAGCTCTAGTAACCTGAGAGCCACACTGAAAAGGAGCCACAGATGCTGCTTGTTGACTTCCCGCTTTTGCCCACCTCTGTGGCTGTCTTTCTGACCAACCACATCCTGTCTCCAGAATGAAATCTCCTCCCACTGGGTTCTGAACTTCCACTTTTGCCTCCTTACTCCCTGTACTCTGGAGAGCAGCCAAAACTCATTGGTATGACAGGTAATTGGATCTCATCCATATCTCACTGAAAATCCTTCAGAAATAAAAATAAAATTAAAAAGCATCACAAAAAAGTGAAATTAAAAAGTAAATTAAAACTCCATCTCAGATTTCATCTTTCCTACTCTTGACCCTGCATGCTCTGCTCAAGCCACACAGGCCGCCTCTCTGTTCTTGGTACATTGCTGAAGCCACCTTCGGAAGTGGCTGTCCCCTTGGACACAACATGAGCCTCCTCTGGCTACACTTTATTCTCCTGCTTTCAGACTGAGCTCAAACAATCTTCTCAGAGGCCTTCTTCAACCAGCTCAGAGTTGGAGGAATGAAAGAGGAGGTAGAGAAATAAGAAGGTAGGGAAGAAAGGAGGAAACAAAAGGGGAGGAAGTGCCACTCATGTGTGATTTTTTCCCCCCAGTACTGAGGATTGAACCCAAGAATGCTTTATCACTCTATATCCTCAGCCTTTTTTAATTTTTTTTAATACAGGATTTCACTAAGTTACCCAGACTTGTCCTCGAACTTGCAATCCTCCTGCCTCAGCCTCTCAAGTCATTGGGATTATAGGAGTATGCCACCATGCTCAGCTGTGTGCACTTTAAATGTCAAGAGACAGCTGCCTCCCAGATATGAAGCCGCCACGTGTGTCATGCTAACCTGGCCTGAGAGAATGTGTTTTATGCATGTCACATGCCCTGCACCCAGCCCTCCAATGGGCTGCTGGCTCCCCTCCTTTGGGAACTTTCTTCTTCAAGTAGTGCAGACCAGTGGCTTTTTGTGCAACCTGACCCCACTGCCAAGCTCCAGATGACTGGCCCAAAAGTGGGCACTGGCAGAGCACAACCAATATGCCCTGGAACCTAGACTTGAAACTCAGACACAGCCCTGACTCCTCTGGGAACTGGAACCCTGAGAAGTAAATGGCAGGGGCCGGGGGCAGCAGTGTGGACACAGCCATATTCCTACCATGTGAGTGGCATGGGAAAGAACAGTCTACAGAGAAACAGGAAGGCAGGGTTGAGAAGAGGAGAGGTGAATGGACTTCTGCACCATGTTTTTATGAAGTTGATCAAGCTTAGCTGCCTTTGGATCCACAAGACATTGTGTATCTGTAGGATAAACATTTGAGCCAGCTGAGTGGCTTCTGGTCAATACA